AGAACACACGATTGGGTCAATGTCAGCTTAGTGTAATGTATGAACTCAACCATTGAGTTTGAAATCCATGGCTTATGATTTAGTAGGTGGGAGCAAACTCTTTTTCAATACTTTTTCCTGTGGATGATTAGAGGAAACCAAATGGGATAGACCTGAAATGTGGGGAGATTTGTTTTGTGGGTTATTCAGATTGGGTGTTTTTTTTTAAATCTGTTTTTAGTAAAATAGCTATATTAAGCTAACTAGAGGGCTGAACAGCCTACTTTGAGTTACAAATCAACTAATACAATTCCTATGGCCATTTGCAGACTCGGATTCTATAACTGACTGTATGTTCACACTATTTACATTTGCTGAAGTGTAAATTACCCAAGCAGTCAGGTATCATATAACAAATTAGGCTAAAAGATGAGTTTGTGGCGCAGAGAACGAGCACTCACATATTGCCTTGAGTTCTTGTAGATAGAATGGCAGAGATTAAACTTCCTATATAATTGTGGGATATTATAGGTAGTCTTCAATTTACAACTACAATTGAGCCCAACGTTTTTATTGCTAAATGATACACTTGTTAATTTTGTCCCATTTTATGAGGTGTTTTTTTTTTTTGCCAGAGTTGTTAAATTAATCCCTGCAGTTGTTAAGTTAGTAACCTGGTTGTTAGATGAGTTTGGCTTCACCATTCATAGATATGAGTCAGTTCGTAAGTCTGAAAAATTTGCAACTTTGAATGGTCACTAAATGAACTGTTGTGAGTTGAGGACTACCTATAATTAGTTATGCAACAGACAGATGATACATTTGGGAAGATTACAAGTTTAGACTCCACCCTTGCTTCACAACAACCAATGAACCTTTTATTCAGGAGCAATTAACAGTCTTTCTAGCCATTTATCTTAATCTTCCATGATCTTATCCAATTCCCACTTAAAATGGCCCAAATTGGCTGCTATTACTACAGCTGCTGGCAGCAGATTCTATAATTTATCTAGATGATATATTAAAAAGTACATTTTTTTCCTGCTGATCCTGAATTCTCCGGCATTATGTTTCAGTGCTGGCACTGAATTTTAACTTTATCAGAAAAAATTCTCTCCATTCATGTTATTTGTATCATACTTTATTTGATACCACTCTATTATATGCATGTCTCCCAGACTCCCTATATTCCAAATTGAAGAGTCCCACCTACTGCCATTTTTTTCTTGAAGGGGAACTAACACAGTTCTCTCATCATTTTGGTTGCCCCGTTTTGTACCTTCTTAATTCTGTGAAACCCTTCTTAAGATACAGAGATTAAAGTTATACAATACTCAAAAATATGGTGTCTCCGTAGATTTATATAGGTGCATCATCATCATCATCATCATCATTATTATTATCAATAGTTCTATTTTCAATTCACTTCCTAATTGAAATAATTATACCAAGCATCAAAGTTGGTAGCTGAGCCTTGGGTTGACATTTTCATGGAGGAATCCACCATGACTTCAGAACACTTGCCAGCTCGGATGCCACTAACATTTAGTCAGAAGGAGTCTGATAACATTTATAGGTAAATGTTGGACTTTTGTGCCAACATCCATTATTCAATACATCCAGATAGATTTGAGAAGAGCATCCCTTTTGTCATAGGGTCCTATTAATGGAGGTAGTCCTCGAGTTATGACCACAGTTGAGACCATAGTTTATGTTGTTAAGTGAGACATTTGTTAAGTGAGTTTTGCCCCATTTTAGGAACTTTCCCGCCTCGGTTGTTAAGCGGTTCACTGCAGGTTATAAGTCAATAACCCGGTTGTTAAGTGAATCCGGCTTCTTCATTGACTTTGCTTGTCAGAAGGTTGCAAAAGGTGGCCTAGGGAACACAGCAATGGTCATAAATGTGAACCAGTTGCCAAGCATCCAAATTTTGATCACATGACTAAGGGGGGGATGCTACAATGGTTGTAGGTGTGAAAAATGAATGTAAGTCCCCTTTTTTCAGTGCCGTTGTAACTTTGAACGGTCACTAAATGAACTGTTGTAAGTTGAGGACTTCCTGCACTCATCTTTTCCTCCATCTGACCAAACAGAGACAGATGCGACTCCATGCTGCGTGCCGAAAGAAAGAGAAAAGACAGAACCATGTCTGTAACACAGTGTTTTCCAAGTTTAATTATTCTGTTCTCTTTCATGGTCCTTTTATGTTTCCCTTAAGTGTTGGACTAGGAGTTTTGATTTTTATCTATTTTTCTAATTAGGAAATTTCTTTTTTAAAAAAAAAAAAAGAAAGAAAAAAGTTTGTCACTTGTGCTCTCTTTCTGACACACACACACACAGCCACATAAAATCTAAATCTATCTCTCATGTCTTCTTGTTTCCCTTCTACAGCAGTGGAGACCCAGAGTACAAGTTCTGAGGAGATGGTGCCCAGCTCCCCTTCTCCACCCCCTCCCCCACGGGTGTACAAGCCTTGTTTTGTCTGCAATGACAAGTCCTCTGGCTACCATTACGGGGTCAGCTCCTGCGAGGGCTGCAAGGTAAGTGAAGGGAAGGTCCTGGACCGCCATTTTCTTTCCAACTTCTGAGGTGGAGGGTTGCCTTTCCCAAGTGCCCACCCCCTTGGCCTCCACAGTACACATCCTGAGTTCAGGCAGGCATTACGACTCCTGCCTCTGTTCAGCTAGGAGGGTGTGGTTGGCTACTTCACCCAGACCTCCTTCCTCTGGCAAAGAATGTTACAGCAGGGAATTCCAAGTTGCCGCATGCCAACACCCAAAACAGATTACACATGCAAGACGAAATGTGCAAAACAAGCAAGGGTATGCTGATTTGCATCCTTCAGTCCACGGGTGGAATCCAAAGTTTGTTTGCTGCAGAAAATTCCACCTACATTTTCAGCACAGAAATCTACAAGGCCTTCGAATAATATCAGAGAGCTGAGCTGTTGAAGGCCACCCAGATTTTCTGACCAGCCAAGGGTTTCTGAGGTCACTAGATGGATTGTAAGGGTGCACTTAACATATCTGCATAATTCCAGGCAGAAACTGGATGTCCTCCCAGATGTGTTGGATTTCACTTTGGAGTATTGGCACTATTTTTGCTTTTTTAAAAAAATATCTTCAAATTAGTGCTGACTCCTGGCAATTGCCTGGATGAGTCCTCAATTTTCTTGGCAATATTTCAGAGGTGGTTTGCCCCATGCCTCATTCCAGAGGTGAGAGAGAGTGACTGGCCCAAAGTTACTCAGCTGGCTTTGTGCCTAAGGTGGAACTAGAATCCACCATCTCCACGTTTCCAGTCTAATGCTTTAACTACTACATTACATTGGTGGTCTAGTACTGACACTGGAACAGGATAATTATATTTGTCTTGTTATTGTTGGAAAAGTTTGCACTGACCAGTTTCCAAGTATAGTCTAGGATCCTAATAATTAGCATCTCTAATATTCTGTAATATTATTTCAGTGACATTTGGTAGTGCTTCTCTAAAACAGGCCATGTAGTATGATCATCCCAGTACTGCAGATAGATCCAAGGGAATGTAGCTTGCCTAAACTCATCCAATTATGTGTCATAGTTAAAGAAATATTTGGATTCTGAACTTCCTGGATTCATGCTTTTTAGCTCCTACATCAGTGCTCAGGAACCGAGTGCTGTTCAAAAACTTTGGTCTACAGTTGCTCATGAACGCCAGTATTTATTAATTCTAATTGGGGCCAAGGGAGTTGCATTATGAAGTATACGGAAGGACCTGAATCAATGAAATTGCTGTCTTATAAAAAGGGCCATGTAGCACCACACCCTAGCAGAGGTTTCTCTTGCCTTGAGCGTGTTGTGGAGGTGATGCATGTGGGAGAAGACAGCACTAAGCAAGAATGGCTAATAATCTGGCCTACCAGGAGACAGCTGGTTGCATTGTTGTAGATCATAATGCATCCCAAGATTTAATCAACTAGCGGACTATAAGACTTTGTTGGTAAGAAACAAGATGTCCTTTCAAGAGTTACTGAATTACAACATTCCAAAGTTCCAATGAGCCAGGCCAAATAAAAGGCCTTGTGCGCATTTTAGTTCAAAATATCCAGAGGATGCCTTTATCTTGCACAAAATAAACTTCTATAAATGGGTGTCCCCAAGTAGAACAGTGATTGGTTGCTCCTGTTGGGCTAAACCTGAACGTGACTTGATTTGGGGAGAGAGCATAATGAATGCAGTCATTATGGTAGATAAATCATGTTTACATTTTTATGGATTGTAAGGAACTGCATTCAGTTCGTTCATCCAAACGTGCTTAAAGCAAGCCGTGATTTAGGACTCTGTGAATTAGGAAAGAGTCTTCCTTGAGAACATTGCTGGAAACTGCGTCCATGCCAGCCTTCCATTTAAATCCTCCTGCTCACTTGTAACTCTCTATGATTTTTAGGGCTTCTTTCGTCGAAGTATTCAGAAAAACATGGTCTACACCTGCCACCGAGACAAGAACTGTCAGATTAGCAAGGTTACTCGCAATCGCTGCCAGTATTGTCGCCTACAGAAGTGCTTTGAGGTTGGCATGTCCAAAGAAGGTGAGTCTTTCTGTCAGAGTTTGAATGGCAGATCCCTTTTATAGGATCTTGTAACCTCCCTATCTGTAAAACATCAAATCTCAGTATTTGCAGAACTACCAAGAACCAGCCAGTTTGGGAAAGGCTGCCTTATAACTTCTTGGGGTTGGTACAAAGCTAATGCCAAAGGGATTACCCCTGTTAAATATCACTGTGGTGTACACAATGTAGGTGTAAGATGGAAAAATCCTGAGAGTGAGAAATATAAAGCTGAAGATGGGCTCTAACATGAGTCCAAAATCTTGAAGAAAAAAACCTCGGGTCCCGGTGACCAACCCAGATTGGATCCTGCAACATTATCCTGGGACATGTATATTCACCTTCCTTCATTATAAAGCTACTGCATGTTTCTAGTTGCGAAAGAAATGGTTTTTTAAAGGGGGATCTAAAAGCTTAAAAGGGAAGCAGCAGGAACATGCCGGTACTTAAACAGGACATAGAAGGGACGAAGATAGCAATAGCAATAACATTTAGACTTATATACCCCTTTGCAGTGCTTTACAGCCCTCTCTAAGCACTTTATAGAGTCAGCCTATTGCCCCCAACAATCTGGGTCCTCATTTTACCAACCTCGGAAAGGTGGAAGACTGAGTCAACCTTGAGCCAGTCAGAATCAAACTGCTGAACTGCTGGCAGCCGGCAATCGACAGAAGTAGCCTGCAATACTGCATTCTAACCACTGCGCCATTACGGCTCTATAAATAGAAAGATAGAAAGTTAAACGGCTGCTGTTCCTCAGACCAGTGGTTTCTCCAATCCAACATTCATTTTCCTAACTATAGAGCCATCTATGGAGCTGTGGCGGCGCAGTAGTTAGAATACAGGACTGCAGGTTACTTTGGCTGACTGTTGGCTGCCAGCAGTTCAGCAGTTCGAGTCTCATCGGCTGAAGGTTGACTCAGCTTTCCATCCTTCCGAAATGGGGAAAATGAAGACCCAGATTGTTGGGGGCAAGATGTAGACTCTGTAAACCACTTAGAGAGGGCTGTAAAGCATTGTGGAGCAGTATATAAGTCTAATTGCTATTGCTACCATGACTATCAGATGCCAGTTGGAAACTTGCAGATTGGGAGACCATAAATATAATAGCAAAGCAGACTGGGACTGATCAACAAAGGAGAAGACAAGCAGGGCAAATGTGGATTTTTAGAGCAGAGTTTCTCAATCTTGGTGACTTTAAGACGTGTGGACTTCAACTCCCAGAATTTTCCAGCCAGCTGGCTGGAGAATTCTGGGAGTTGAAGTCCACACGTCTTAAAGGTTGAGAAACAACTGCCTTAGAGCAATCGCTATGCATTACTTGACCTGGCCACACATCTGTTTTATAAACCTAAAGGTTAGGATAGGTTAGTCCTTGACCTAGGATCACAGTTGAGCCCCAAATTTCTGTTGCTAAGCGAAAGAGTTGTTAAGTGATTTTTGCCCCATTATATGACCCTTCTTGCCATAGTTGTTAAGCGAATCGCCACACTTGTTAAGTCAGTCACATGGTTGTTAAGTGCATCTGGGACCCTGCAACTGTCATAAATGTGAGTCAGTTAGCCAAGCATGTGAATTTTGATCATGGGACCATGCAGAAGCTGCAAGGTCATAAGTGTGAAAAATGGTCATAAGTCCATTTCCCCCCCAGTAATGTTTGAACTTTGAACAGTCACTAAATATACTGTTATCATTTGAAGACTATCTGAACAGGGAC